CTGGACAAGTTTGAAGGGCTCTATGAGAAGTTGTGTGATGAAATTGATGTAAGAAGTCAAAGAAGAGATGCTGCGAGAAATCACATATGATTTATACGTCCTTAATATATCATTTGCTGTGTTATTGTGATAATGTGTTGTTGTATTGTCTTTTCTTTTTATTTTATGTATTGTTAATGGTTTCTAAATCATCCAATCCAATAAAACAAAAATAATATTTCATTTTAAATGTTATTTGAGAAACATACTGAAAAACATAAATAAATCAAACTTAGAATAAAATGAGGGTTTCCTATCTCATTCAAGTTCATGCTTTTGCAAATGTAATTTTGTTGTCTACCACTCATTTACCTTTTCTTGTCTATGATACATATATCAAAATCTAGTGGTCATGAATTTTAGACTTTAGGAGGCTCAGTGTCTATTAAAATATTTTGTTATGGACCAAATTAAACAACAAATATTTTGACATTTTCATCTTATTTCTTGTGTATCAGTAGGTCAAAACATAATTATACATTATCTACTATATTTCGCACTTGTAATTTTGTTTTCCATGTCCCAAATCTGTAACAATAGTTAAAACGACTACCTATTCTATTTATTAATTCGTTAACTAATAATCTCATATTTATTAACTAGCTATTATCAAGTATACTAACAACAACAAGCAAAAATAAATTAACTAAACCATCAATCAAACCACTTTTAGATATAAACCAAATAACCATTAAACCAATAATTCTACAAGTAATACAAATACCATCATTCTTAACATGCTTCTAATCCAACTTCCAAAAGAAAAAAAAACATTAAAAAAACACCAATTCGATCATAGATCAACCTCCTCTTCATGCCACAATTCCACGATTACGCTTTCTTTGCCTGCACTACAACATAAAGATATGCGTGAGTATTATCACAAATAGTAAGTAAGATGACCCCCATATACTACCTATACACACAAGCGAATTACACAAACCAACACTCAATCAAACAACAAAAACATCAGACCATACATAACAAGAACAAAACAACTCCTAATCCAGCCTAGTGTCGACCTCCACATCAACACATCTGATGTCGACCGATACCCTCTTGGTGTCTATCTACACTGCCTCTTAAGATACAGTAGAATCGCCTCTTATCAATCCTGAAGAATCCTTGCACCATACACGACCATGAACAAACCCTAACCACCAAATCATCACGTGATCTTTTCTTGGGGGTTTTCCTCATTCGCACAGTTCCATCAATCAATTCCTAGAAGTCACCCATCCTAATCCTACTCTATCTCAAGAACACTTAGCTGTCAAGTTCTTTTAGGATCTTTGGCCAAAAAAATAAGTGTACTTTCATGACATAGTTAGAAAAATCAAATCTTTTAAACCTCTCCGCATGTTTGCTGAAGCCAGGGAGGCTTACACTTTAGAGGAGTCTAGGAGCTTTGTTTCAGGATATGAAGGGGATCATTACATAGTAAATACATCAATGTCAAGTCTTGACATGAAAGGAGTCCTATGTCGAAGAAAGTTAC